AATTGTTAGTTATATTCATGATTTGAGAATTGAAGAATACTTGCTTAAATTTACGATGCCAATATAAATTGCAAGATGTGATATGTGCAGGTAAACAAACTTATCTCTTGCGCGAAATCGCGTGATCCACACGGACACGGTGTGCACTCACTACCACCGACAAGCAATATTTAACGCAAAATCGTGCATCGTAGTGCCATCTAACTGACTATCTAGTAATGGCAGGTTTAAATTTAAAACCCATTTTATCATATATGCAACTAAGTTGAAATTGCATGAAAATGCCGGTAATAAGCAATTTAATAATGCCTATCAAATCGCAAATATTGCTTTAATTTATACTCTATGATACAATAAAATAATATAATATTCACACATCGGAGAAGAACAAACATTCGAAGTGGCCAGATAAAAGTTACTTACTCAAGCACGAAAGAACGGAAAACAACATGGCAGGAATATGTATCCGTTTGACCGACATAGTCACATAGTAACCGACAATAAAACCGCAACAATCTTGTAATTTGAAAAATGAACATCAGAACCGAGCAAGAAAAACTTTTATGAACATAAACGCACAATTAATCACATAGCACTGCAGATGCATGTTACAACTAAGTCGATTGATGACCGCACATACTCGAAATGCAAATGTAGAAAATAGAAGTCCGATAAAACGATACGCGTCGCGCGAAATGCGTCAGGATACTCCAGCGACCGGCCCGCAACTGGCTGCAATCCATCGATAGCGCTTGCCGAAACTGCATAAACCCGGCAGATAAAAGCAATAGATGCGCATAGCCAGCGCGCCGATGCCACGCGACCTTGTGCGCGAATTGCAATAGATGCGCAAAGCCGGCTGCGCGTCGACGGCACGCGAACTTGTGCACAAATTGCAACAGGCGCAATACCTGCGAGCTAAACTAAACTAGACTGTGCACAATCAGACTTGTGCCTGCTGCATAAACCCGGAAGGTAAAAACAATAGATGCGCAAAGCCAGCGCGCCGACGGCACGCGACCTTGTACACGAATTGCAATAGATGCGCATAGCCGGCTGCGCGTCGACATCACGCGAACTTGTGCACGAATTGCAATAGGCGCAATACCTGCGAGCTAAACTAAACTAGACTGCGCACAATAAGACTTGTGCCTGCTGCATGAACCCCGCACGTAAAAGCAATAGATGCGCAAAGCCGGCGCGTCGATGCCACGCGACCTTGTGCGCGAATTGCAATAGATGCGCAAAACCGGCTGCGCGTTGACAGCACGCGGCCTTGTGAACGAATCGTATTTGGTACCGGTGATCAAAACTAAACTATGATACGCCAACGTGCGACGTGAGGGGATGGCAACTACGACACTCCGGAATCTCATGCGTTGCATTCCACGCGGCGAATGCGATAAGAAAGTGAAAGTTGTGTTCAAAACAAACACAATGCGCGCCGAATGCCCACGTTTGCCGATAAATATAGAAATAAACAATACAATCCTATTTGTTTTCATGCTAGTATGACTGATACAGATAATAGTACCGGAATTTATATTATTAAAATTAACAAAACTCAAATTAACAAAAATCTTGAAATTATGACTTCCTATGCTCAAATAGACCAATGCCTATTTTACATCAAATATTTAAGTGAAATTTAATTCGAACATGTATTGTTTCTACTCTATTTCGGTTTATGTTCAAGCAATGAACAATTCCAACTATTTATTGCGATTTTCCACAAAATTTTATTGCACTTCAGTAGAAAAACCTATAAATTTTCATCTATAAGTTTTCTGCTGAAAAATATATTCACATTTGGTCAAATTAGGGAAACACTTTGTGTCCTAGAGTAAAATTTTACTATAATAAAATATTCAGAGATTTTATGGAGGTATCCGCAATAAAAAGTTTGAATTCCTATTTTCAAATTTTCTGTGGAATACTTGAAAGTAATATCCGCAAAAATAAGTTTAAGATATCAATTTCCTAATTGCAAGAAAACAGTAAAAATGTTACTTACCATGTATTGAACACCGCAAATCAAATGTGGGTAGATACTGAAATAAAGAAGAAACAAAACATTAGTCACACAATTTCAGACAATGATGAATTAAATTTCAGCGGAACCCAAAGTTTAATTAAATGAGTATTCTTACCAGGTAGCACATAGCCACGACGAGTTCCGCTGAGGACAAAAATGGTTCACACAAGTCCGAAATTAACTACAATATTATTTACAATCAAACATGGCCGGCCGGCGTCCGACGGCAACCGATCACGAATACACGCGAAAATATAATAAACACACAAAATACTGAATCCCGAAGATAACACACGCGATAAATATTTAGCGAATGACTAAATACGATAATTAACACTAAATTCAATCACATACAACGCGATATACCGAATTAACAACGAGAAACACGAATACTCAACGCAGTATTATTATTGTCGCGCGAACAGATGACTGCCGGCATCACAACTGTGCAGGCTAACTTTCTCTCGCAGGAATATTTTTAGTTAAAATATGCATCGTTGCGCCGTCTGACGATGCTTTATTGTACCTCCAGCTAATACAAAGTGTGCCAAAAAGTGTGGCGTGCATATGAGGCAGTGAGCGATTGTCTATGAGTCAGTGAGTGGTCACGCACGTAAATGGCCGTGTCCGAGTGTCACACGTACACGAAAGTGCGCACGCACGACCCTATCTAACCGAGTAGCAATTTTTACAGATAACTCAAAACTTCAAATATACGTGGCACTAGGATGTGATTATTCAAAATAATTTATTCAAATTTTAAAACGCATGTAGCGCCATCTATCGACGCACGACGTAATACCAACACAGAAAGTTGCATACCGGCCTAGAACTACTAGCGCCACCTAGTGGCGGAGGCCAGAAGTGCATAACTTTGGAGGAAACTGTAATTGCGTATAGAATTGCTACCGATACTGTCATTTTTCTGCGGCGTAACAGAATTGACAAGCGCAAACATTTAATTTAACAGCAATTTTCATTGAATGTACAACGAAAATTGAAATTTATAAGAAAAAAAAAACTAAATTACCATGATTTCGATGTGTGTTTTGACCATTCCAGTGCAGCCATGTAAGCTGGTTAAGCCCTAAAACAAACAAGAAAATAAACAAATCAGACAAAACATTCAAATTCCTTGTGTTATTAACATACAAACAAGAATTTCTGATAGTCAGATAATCTTTTGAGGACTAGTTAATGTTTAAAGAAAGCCTTGATGCGATTTATTTCACTTACCGGATTCAAATGGTGATATTACATCTTCAAAAACGGCGTGTGTGCACAATGTTCGTTTTGTGAAATCTTGACAATCACATCTATTTGGAGATAGCGTATATACAAAACGGATAAAACACAGTACAAAATTTTAGTATAACGCGAAACTAAGTACAAATAACGTTGTTCATATTGTAAGAACGCGAAGTTATGAATAAAACGACTAGCGACGCACCGAAACAACGGACGAATTCATACTGCGGCGTGGAAAATGGCGTCGACGCTAAGCACAGTACTACCAACTTAAATTTTGAAAAAGGCACTGTCAAGTTGGCAATAAGAGTCTTACTTATAACAAGAGCATAACTTATAAATAGAAACTTGTCACATGAAATAATATTAAGAATGATTATCTATCACCCAAAAGCTTTTCACGAATTGCCCATCTTGTCTGACCATGCTGATGTTCACCAGGGAACTTAATCTTATCCCATTCCTGTTTGTACTGATGATATAAAGCCACAGGATCACTTTTCATAGGCTTATTGGCAATTCTAGGCCTTATAACTGTGAAGAAAACATTTAAATCTAATATTTAACTCTAATTACGTAACTTTTTACTTACAGGAACTTCTTGAACTCTTGGGCCTTGCACTTTTTTTACTTGTTTCAAGATTAGTGGCAGTAGTTGTAGCTGATAGAGGTAGAATAGGCACTGATTGTGTTGTGCTTGGAATACTTTTCATTTGATCTAAACTCCCAGCAACACTTACTTTGCTTGCTGCAGTAGATGGAGCTAATGACACAGCTTGATTACACTGCCTATTAATGCAGTTCAATCTATTTGTACTTTGTCTTGATTCAGAATCATCTATTTCTGATTGTGGTAAGATAAGTTTTGGTACTGAGTTTGTGCACAGATGTGATGAATGCCCTGGATTGTTAATTTGCAATGTAATAACATGTTGTTTCAATTGTTTCTTTGGAGAGGTCGGTTTTTTCTTAGCTTTTGATGCAATAGTGTCTGTCTTGTGTAAACACTCGAAAATATCTTCCTGTGGATCTTCATTTTCTTGCCCATTGTATATGTGTGTTGTTGTTGTTGACATTGTTCATCATATTTTATAAACCGTTTTAAATCTGGAACAGTAATAGTTAGAAAAGAATGTTAAGTAAGGGTTGCAAGTTATACCTATCATGAACTCTTTTAACTGATGCGCACTAATATTAGTATATCCTAAATAATTTAAATGTGATAAAACTTCTCGTGCGTTCGCCATAACTGACATTTTAAAACTGCGAGGGTTATGACACACGCTTAAGCAGGTGCGTTTTGGAGCGACACTAGCGCCACCAGCAAAACTTTTATTATTGAATTTGAATCAGTGTATTGAATATAAAATAACATTTATTACCATATTTTAAAATCATTATGTTAATACAATGTAGAATTAAACTTCTTCCGTAAATTCAATGCACAGTATTTGCAAAATTATAACAAAGAAACTATTTTTAAAAGTTTTGGGTGTGGCGCTAGTATCGCTCCGATGCGTGCTTTTAATATTAAATTATGTAATACAAATGTTAAAAACACATATAATTTCTATATTACGCCAGCAATAGAAAGTGAAAACGTAAATTTAAACTTTTGTTTACAATAAACTTATTTGTTTTAGTTTAAAAAACATGTTGCCGCGTTAAAACCATTGACCTTGTCGAATCAATTCCGAACACTTTCTACGGCTGCCGACGGCTTGCATAGTGTCGCTGGTGTTCTCCAACTCGGCAATCCAACACAAAACCGAATGGTCGCCATTAGGCCACCGAAAACAAACATTCGAAACCTCATCGCATTCATCTACCTCGTTCTTGTTGTTATTGTAAGTACTCAGCGACGATGTCGCGTTCAGTTCGGGCAGAGACACGGAGCCGCGCTAAGGATGACATAAAGAAAATAATGCAGGCTGTAGAGAAGGTCCGGCATTGGTGAGTTTTCCGCGAACCAAAATGTCCAACTTCCATTTATGAATGGTATATTTTTTGTACTCAGGGAGAAAAAATGGGTCACAATCGGAGATACGACAATGAAGATTTACAAATGGGTGCCGGTGGCGACAGGCGGCGAGATGAAGAAAAGTAAACGGGAATCTAATAAAGAAAATCTCAGGAAACAGACTGAATCATCCAACTCAAACTTCAGTATGGCTGAGGACTCAAACACATGTAAATCTATAAAAATTAAGTTATTTATTTAATTATTATTCATAATTTATGATAGGTTTTTCAACTGTAAGTGATTCTCAAGGACCAACAGACTTCTCCTCTTCACATATGACATTCTCAGAAGATTCCAATTCACATAGTAATGAATTACCTGTGAAACGATTAAAGACTGAGTAAGGTGTGCTTGCATTCAGGCAGCTTGTAAATTATTTCATGTGGTGTAGATGAGGTTTTATGGTTTCTTCTAATTGGGAAGATGTACTGATGTTGTTGGCCTCAAATGTGGTAAGAAATGAACTGTCGGAGAGGCGGGATCTCCGTGTGCGCGGCTTGTGTGCATAATCAGCTTGTAATGAATTTTTTTCACCTGTAAAATATTACAATTATAATTTTAAGTTTACAAGACACAAATTTCCTGAACTTGATTTACCTATGCTTATTATGCAGTTGATCATCTTGTATAATTGCATGTAATTATCCAGAGCAGTGTTCATTTTTTCAAATTTTGTTGAAAGGGTTTTGATATTTTCAAGAGAAGTGTTGAGATTCAAATTGGAATATTCTTCATAATTAATTTTACTTGCAGTTTGGTTTAAAATGTTTGTTGAAGCTGCAAGAAGCTGTTGGACTTCTTTGTGCTTCTCCCTTGTTACTGGGATTATGTTTTTATTTCCACTGATGATTTTCTCCAGCTTTGTTAAGTTTTCAGTGATTGTACAAGTGGTTTGTAAAGTTTCACTTTCTGCTTGAAGATTCAAACTCATAATACCGTCAACGCGCCTTATTTGTTGTTTTAGTTTATTCATCGCTAGTTTCTGTTGAAGTTTAGCTTCTTTTAATTGTAATTCATGGAGTTTTTGTGATAAATAATAAATATTTTGAGTCGTTGGAGAACTTAAACCGTCGGCCATTTTGAGGTTATATTTTTGAAGCAAGATCGTTATGTCATTATACTTGGTGTTTCGTATATCATCATATAAAAGAATGAAAATAAATTAGATCAAACCTAATAGATTAAATTAAAACAATTGTGAGAAAGTAAATAAACTGTATTTTATAATAATTAATACCTAACTCTTGGAATTATTTTGTAAGTAAGTATTTTTATTTATGACTTTGGAGATGCGGAAGATTGGCAGCATTGTAAAAATCAAATTATCCAGTCACGTGACTGTAACATAATGTCAGACACAGTTCTAAATGGCAACCACCCAACAAGCACGCTCCAAAGACATTTCGCATTATTTACAGCAGCCTTCGCTCTCTTTCCAAGCACTTCAGTTGTTCACATTTGGTACACATTTGTGTTCACGTTCGGTCGGCAGTTGACGCGCCAGGTGTTCAACATCAGATACGGTATACAATTGTGCTGTGTTTTAAAATCGGTGGCAACCCAGACGATAAGCCCGATTTTCAAAACAGTTTCAACCGTTTCGTCGGGAATCTGTGTGCACAAAACTGCAAACAGGATGTGCATGTTTAATCAGCGATGAAGTAATAGAGCAAATACAGCGCGCATATTAGGAAAACGAAGAGGTATGTTGGGAATATCGGCATTCTCATATGTTTATGGCAGTGTTTAGATGCTATTTTGTGCGTTTATATGTCTTGTTGGATTTGAAAAATTATTATGTGAATGATAGAAATATTTAATATATCTTGTGTTTGAGTGAATATTTTTTCGTGTGTAGTGAATGCTGGTCCAAGGTTAGAATTGAACTTGTAATTGAATTGAATTAATAACGATGTTTACAGTCAGGTAGCTTAGAGGTAACGTTTTTATTGTTGTCCTATTATAGACAGGACAATGCCGAATTGCTATCCTCAATTAGTAATCTTAGATTAACTTGATTTGTTTATGCTAGTGCATTTAACTGCGCTTTTTATGTAAACATCTTTGCTAAAATTAACGTAATATGAGCCCAGTTAAGTTTATTTTTTATTTTTCGTGCTCTGTTTGTGAAATTCGGTTTTTCGAAGCATCTTCTCATCATTCTTTTGCTCTATTGAATAAATACAATCACTTGAACAAGTTGTCACAATACCGTTCACATTAACACATTAGTTGATGTGATTATATAATTGAATAGCTCATTGTTGTTTCTTTGATGCATAGGTGCGGACATAATGTCGGTTGATGAAAGCATTGAATGGCTGTATGAGCTGCTAGAGGATGTGCAATTGAAGCAATTTTTGACTGCCATCAAGGATGATTTGCAAATCACACGCTTGGAACACTTTGAATTCGTTAAGACAGAGGATTTGGAGAAGATAGGACTTAGTAAACCAGGTAAAATTAAATCATAAAAAACAGAGTAACTATTAAAATTAAATTATGTTTTTATAGGAATTAGAAGATTATTAGATGCAGTAAGAAAGCGCAAAATTCATCAATGGAAAAAGAATCTCATTACGAAAATAATCCCATCGGCTGGCACCAAATCAAAAAGAACAAACACAGAAACACCTGATAGTTTATCTGCAAGCCTAACATGTCTCATCAACGAAAAAGACCTGTCGATGTCAGTAAAACTAGGTGATGGCTCATTTGGGGTTGTACGTCGTGGAGAATGGACAATGTCACCAGGTAGAAGTCTTCCAGTTGCCGTGAAAGTCCTCAAAGCAGATGCGATCACCCAGCCAGGTGTATTCGAGGATTTCATGAAAGAGGTACAGGCCATGCATAGTCTCAGCCATCCAAATCTCATCCAGCTGCATGGTATTGTGTTAAGCGTGCCTATGATGATGGTAACTGAATTAGCACCGCTTGGTGCGTTGATCGATGCTCTTCGGAAGCAGTGTATGCATACACCAGTGACACTTCTTTGTGAATATGCAGCGCAAGTTGCAACAGGGATGGAATATCTCGAAACGAAAAGGTTTGTGCATCGCGATTTGGCATGCAGGAATGTTTTGCTTCTCACGGCGGATAAGATAAAGATTGGCGATTTTGGTCTTATGCGTGCAATACCCCAAGAATCAGACTGCTATGTAATGACTGAGCATAAAAAGGTGCCGTTTCCTTGGTGTGCGCCGGAATCACTAAGATCACGACAGTTTTCTCATGCGAGTGATGCGTGGATGTTTGGTGTCACAGTATGGGAGATGTTTACATTCGGGAGGATCCATGGATGGGTTTAAACGGTGCGGAAATTTTGAGAAAAACTTATACAGAAGGCGAGAGGTTGGCACCTCCATTGGCTTGTCCAGGTGATATATACCAGTTGTTGCTGCAGTGTTGGGCGAAGAAGCCGCAGGACAGGCCTACATTTGCTGCGATTAACAAGTTTTTCAAGCAGAAGAGAATTTCGATAGTGAAAAGTCTCGGGAACTTAGACGAGCCGGATAAGTTACGTGTGATGCAGGGGGAGGAAATTGCTGTGATAGAAGGAGCGGCGGATGTGTACTGGTGGAAGGGTCAGAGCCAGCGTACATTTGAGATCGGCTTATTTCCAAGGTGTTTGATTAGTCTTGGCAGGCAAATGCTAAGTGAAGACATTAGTAAACCTCTGCATAATTCATTTATACACACCGGTCATGGTGCGGCGTTTGGAGAGTCCTGGGGTAGTCCGTCACACATTGACGAAATGTATTTGCGAAATCCCATGGAGCCGCCGGATGTTACTGGTTATCCACACATAGACAAGGGAGTTCAAATGCGCGTGGGTGGGACTTCACCAGGACAGAAACAGAAATCATACAGACATTGTGAGTATGTTTTTTTTTTGTAATGAGTTTATAAGTAACGTTGAATTTGTATGTTTTAGCTGCGAGTGTTTTGTTGCGTCCGTCGGCAGAGAAGCAATTCGTGTATAAAAAGTTAGTAAATGATCAACATTCCGATAGTAAATTGCGAACTAAAGTTGTGGGTGTGAAACCAGACCGACCACCGCAACCCTCCAATCGTGAAGGTATTCTGATTGACATTTCACCAGATGGCGCACCGTGCGCTAATAGACATGCTGAGCCCTCACGGGTTGCGGTGTCGCTAATTGATGAGCCTATTGATGTGGCTCAGGTATCATCTGCACCGCCGACACCACCCCCATATCACATGCCACCTGCGTACAACAACACATCGATAGCTAATTTTAACGAACCACAGAAACTCGATGATGATCCGTTTGATACTTCTACAGTTCTTGTGGAAAAAATGCAATCAATAACAAAGAATGAAATATTATCACCGATCAAAAATCCGACGCCATCGAAACAAAAGTCAAATTATGCTGCAAGTTATATCCCTGAAACGCAGCCAATCTCTAGTCGTGAGTTAATGAGCCTCATCAAAACAGACTCGTTTGATTCCTACGCCCGTAATAATTTCGGGTGTAATTCACAGGAGAATCTCAGTGAAGAGTTTGAGAAGGCGTTGTGCATTGGCTCGAAAATGAATGGAGTTGCGAATTTGCCGATGATTGACCCACCGCCGCCGAATCTCAATCTAAAACGCACTAATGAAGTTAATGCAACGATCAAAACCATCACAGGTGCATCAAGTGCGCATGCGCAAAACCATAGTCTTCCCAAAGTACAAAATGAATCTCAGCCCATTTATGTTAACAATTCCAATAGTTCCACCATCACTCATGCTTCCAATGGCAACTCAAATAGTTTTTACACTGGTACTTACAACAATGGCATCACATCGGTAGGCACTGAATTAGGATGTTTCAAGTCTAATAACCGAGCAAGTATTGTCTCGGTTGCATCGCCATATGGCTATTCGGCAGTATATGAAAGTTCGAGTAGCACACAACCGACATACTTGAATAAAGATGTTATGTATCAGCAACATAATGATTATGCAGTTGGACATGCGTATAATACAGTTCCCGATGAGGAAGTGTATTCCGAGATCGAGGAGACTTACTATAGTCAAGTGCCTGATAAGCACGTGCTTATTCCGACAAGACCTGCACCCGCACCACCACCGGGGGCGCATCCGTTGAGCATGCAGCAGGTGCAAAGAAGACTTCAACTTGGAACGGTAAGATTATTATAGAGTGATTTACGGTTGTGTTTAATTTTTGATTATATTTGTGTATATACAGTTGAGTACAGATGCTGAACGTTTAATGACTCATGAATATCGACAGTCGAAGATTACTCAGGTGCAGAATGCCATTCCAGATGCTTCTGTTGAGGAATGTGAGGGGAAACTGCAACTCTTCAGGTGGGATGTTGAACAGGTGATAAGACACATCAAAATTGAACGATTATTGAGGTAATTTTTTCAAATAATTCTTAAATTATTAAAAGTCATGTCATAATATTGGTTTACAGGCTTGGATTGACTGATAGATCAAAATGTGAGAGTGCTCTCCAACGAACAAACTGGAATGTCGAATTGGCCGCGTCGTCAATGCTCGAATGAAACATGACAATATGAAATAATCATAATTGCATATCAATGCTGATGCATGGTGAAAAGCGGGTATGAAAAATCGATACTCTAAATAAAATAACGAGTCTGTGATGTATGGTTGGTCGATTGACGCGCTATAGTATAATTGTTAAGTGCCAAAGAATACGGAAATGCATGGTTAAATATATTGCAAACTAGAACTAGGCCGAAGAAATAAAAAGCAGAACTGTGAACGATTATCCTTATATGCTTAACAGCTTCCAGTTATAGATAAGAGTGTGAACATAACAAATATAACAAAAGTCTGGTTTTAGTACGGATTAACCAAATGAATTTTTATGACAATTATCAGTGTCTAGTCAAAATTCTGAAGCAGCCAATTCCACTCGAATGCCACTATTTATCGAAATTTTCATCTCTGATGAATCCATAATGTATATAAAATATATACATGCATTAATGATCTTTTGAGAAGAGTATGAGCGTTTTTATTTCACATGAATATGTGTATATAGTTTTCTTTATATATTTTTTCATGACTTACCTTTTATTTTATTTAGTAAACTGTGTGGATGCTAATGTTATAGAATTATAATAAGCTTGTAATATACTGCAGTTGTTGTTTTTATTAAAAACACGTTTTTTTTAAACATCGTAGTTTGTATAATGAATTAAAAATGAGATTAAATATTCAACGAAGAACATTAGCGTATATTGGGTTGCCTAACCGATTAGAAGATATATGGATAAACAACACAAACAAGGTAGCCTACCTACCAAGTCGGACCAACCAATTTAAAAAATCATTCTTTTAGTGGAATATTACTGGCTCAAATGTAGAATTTGTCAGTAGTGTACAGGTACATGCTTATGTTAATCAAGAAATAATCATTTAATATAACTTACTTGGAGAAATAATGAAGAAAACTTGCTGCAGCTCACACGCGCTAAATTTCAGCCCAAGATTCAATTTACAACCAGAGTTGCCAGGGTTGCCTACCGTAAGTTACAGAAATCCCTAAACAAACTGTCAAAATACGAATTGTCGTAACTACAATACGATCTTCAGTACTTCCCCGGCGTATTGTTGAGCTCAATATAATATTAGAAGGTATGTTAAATATAAAGAAAATACTTTATTTCCATGAATAAAAAATATTCACATTCATGCCAGTTTCATAACATTTCACTTATCTTGCATCACATTGTTACCGTTAACATCTTTAACCTTAAAAACTATGTACACTTAAACCTTAATTTAACATTCACACCACATTAATTGCCACTTGGCACTTCTAGGGCTTCTATTATCTAAACTTGAGTACAATATACAGGAGGAAAAATACGAAAATTGAGAACAGAAACAAGTAGATGATGTAGTAATTGTGACTGCCTTTGGAGAGTCGTAACACCCGGTTCATGGTGGTGCCCAGGAAGCCGCCGGTTCGATCGAGATCGTCGTCAACATCGCGCAGTAACTTGTCCTGGTATTTCACTTCATTGCCGATGTCTATCGATAGCGACTTCAACACGCCAATCTTGTCCTTCAGCTCATCTTGCATGCGATTGTTTTCTTCTTCGATCTCGCCCGCATTTTGATTCAATGGCTGGTATTGGTAGCCAGAATGATGCGCTCGCCGCATGTTGCTGCCGTACGACGCCACAATGAATTATTGTTGGATTTTAGCCCACACCGACTAAGAAATCGCGATAACAATTGATACGTGGATTTTGTTGGCCTAGTTGAATTGACAGGTTGGTAAGTGCGACATCTAGTAGCTGAAATTCAAATCAAATTCAAATTTTGTAGTATTGTAGTATGTTTGAGGTATTTTATGGATATCATGGATCTGATAAAAAGCTGTAAAGAAAACCTGCTTAAATTGGTATGTTAAATAACCACTGATGTTGAAATTAGTAACAATTGGTTCAATTTTTAAGATGGCGGAAAGCCGGACCAAGCAACCGATCTCCTTACTACAAGAAGCATTGGTTACTTTGCGATTAGAAGCAAAGTATGAGCTGGTAGAGACAACCGGTGCAGACCATTCACGAAGTTTCAAGTATCGTGCATTTATTAACGATGATATTTCTGCATTGGGCACAGCCAATTCGAAAAAGGGAGCTAAATCTGCGTCTGCGCAGAATTTAATTAATTATTTACTTGCGAATGATACTTCAAATGCAAGTACCGAAAGTACTCCTCCATTAAAGTAAATACAAGAGTTTATTGTAATAATAATAATTAAATAGTTAATTTTGATTGTTTGCAGCAATTTTTCAAGTCCTGCGTTGGAAGCCGGTGTAACGCCTCCACCTGCAGTAGAAAACAGCATCGGCATGTTGCAAGAATTATGTATTATACGCGGATGGGGAACACCAGTATATCACGAAGAATCTCGTAGTGGCATGTCACACATTCCAATCTTTACCACTTCCTGCATCGTATCAGAACACAAAACTATCGGCACGGCTGGTAATAAAAAAGCGGCTAAGAAATTGGCCGCTCAAGAGATGTTGGCGAAGTTGTCTAATAGCGCAGCGCCATCTGCACAACTGTCAAGTGAAACTTGTCTGGTGGTGGGTTTTATACTCTTCAAATTGTTTATTTTTACTGATTTATTGTGTTTGTAATTTGCCACAGGCAATCAAACAAGAGCCAGCACCTGAACCGGATGATAATATTCCTAAAACAAACGAAATATCTTCATTATGTAAAACTGAAGATGTTCAGGATACTGCCATTGCATCAACATCTAATAATGCAGCTCCTGATCCTGATGTGGTATTCACTCAAATTCAGCAATGCGTTGAAGAGTCTTCCGGCCCGGATATGCTCAAACTAAAGGTAATTCCAAAATTGCGACGTACACGAAATGTCCCTATAAGAAAAGCCAAAACAAAAAAAGTATCAATAAGGAAAACCCAGAAGAAATAATGTAGTTAAAACATTTTAATTTAATATTATATGTACAGATAATTGGCATCAATAAAAATGCAAACCACATGCAAACACTTTGCGACGTGTGTCAGGAGCAAGCCTTTGACATGGCGATAACGCTGTCAGAAGATCTTGATAGCGAAGGGATGAAGCAGTGCATGGTGCAGTTGCGTATGCCAGTGTTAAATACATTCACGTATATTGTATGCTGCGGGTCGGGGGCAGACGATGAAAAGGCCAAGCAAAATGCCGCACGCACTACACTTGAATATCTCAGGATGATGGCTTTGTGCACAAAAGTTAATTTTGTTCATTTATGAAGCGCAGATTAATTAGATATATAAATTTATATAATTGCACTTTAATATTTTGTATAGAATACTTATAATTTGCTTAGTCTAATATAATTTAAATATTTTACATCATTTTACAATAATCTATCATAAGAACAAATATAACAGTCTTAACTACTAGATAGAAACAGTTTAAACCAATCCTGTGATTGCACGAATCGAGAAATCTGTAAATTTTGGTCTGGTTTCATTCCTTGGTTCATCTTCAATCCGCTTGGATACTGATAAATCCTGCGGCATTAACCTTGACATATGTATAGATGAATATAAGGAATGGTTGAAATATGTGGCAGGATGCAAAGCAAATGGATACTGGTAGAAGTAGGGAGTGTAAGGATAATGATGTAATTGTCGATGTGATTGTTGATGGACATAATTCGAACTCGGACTCGGTGATGCTGTCATCGAACTGTCACAATCACTCATGCCAGAATCACTAGAGACATCTAGCGGTGCATGTTTTACATGTTTCTTTGGTTCCTGTGTAATCTCTTCGACATCACCAACACCCACAACATCAACGTCTTCTTCAACTGATGAATCTTTCTCTTCTTTTTCCTCTTGTTTTTCTTGTTCCATTCTCTGACGCTTCCTTTTGCACTTGCTTTGACCTGATTCCCTGAAACCTTTAGCGAATGGGTTGTGGTCGATCTTCATCTTGGTCATCTTGTCGTTCTGGTAAGCGGTGACGGCGATGAATTGTGTTTCAGCAAAGTCCACCACCACTTTCGGAGCGTAATCGAAGATGTTTCTTAGATCGGACGCTTCCACAACGTGAATACGAGGTTGGTATTTGTGCATGGAGGCCATTACCACGTGGCCCGCTGGAGCATTCGACATGTTCGTTAGTTTCAAACGACCGAAGGATACTGCTTGAGACATCCAATGAGCTCCGGGGGCGGGTGATTCCGGGTGGATATAGAATCGATTAGGGCTGTGTGCTTCTTCGGCTCCGGCTGGGGCCCAACCTGTGGCGGCAGAGTATCGGTAACGGCACTTAGTGACTGGTACCATTTCCACTAGGAAGCAGTAGTCTTTGTGTGGGTCGAGGTCCGTAACTTGAACACGCATGGAGGGAAACATACGTCTATAAAAAAAGAAATCGAATTATACTTCAAACTCTCGGTTATAAAATATGTAAATATAATTTGTTATCATTTTGTTTCTGCAAGTGTAGGTTATCGCAAGAGTGGCGCCTGCTTTGTGGCACTTGACGTGAACACACGGACGGTGAGTAAATAACCGTAAGTCGTAAAACTAGTCCTCAAGTACCTAGTTCAGTAATACAGAGTGTTCAAAAACAACATGCGAAGATAAACAGTTGATTTGTATGTATGTTTTGTAACACCCTGTATAAATTACTCTTTAGTTTACGACCTAGCCCAGCGTTTGTTTTTTATCTTGCGATATTTTTTACGCGACCGAAAATTTGGAATGTTGATGTAGGTCGGGTGTAAACACGCGTGTTAATTATCATTCGACAAACGCAGACCCAAGAAAAACCCATGTCAAACCTAAAATATTGAAAACGAAGACACAACCGATAACATCGGCGTCTTAGAATGTTTGTAATGCCGACGCATGGCGACGCATATCAATTTACCGAATTTCAGATTATCCTAAGGGTGTAAAACAGTAGCACACCGTCAGTTTTGTATAAATTGGGTTGCCTATGATTTATTTTAATGTTGAAACACGTAAATTGCTTTTCCGGATGTTGTTCGTCGGCAAACAGGCAAATAAAAGTAAACACGCGATCGATAAATAATCTATTAGTCCGTCTTTTCCGTTCTGGTACCGATTGTGTTTTTAAGGGTGGTCTTAGCTCCGAAATAATTTGCGGTCTGGAGTTTCCGGCGCGCGGGCAGTCGTCGCCTTGTTACTTAAATAAATAGTCCGGGCGAGGGTAATCTTGTAGGCGGGGTTGTTGAGGCCTGCCAGCAGTGACACGAATTCCTAACGATACACCAGATGACCAAGTGTAATTAAATCACAGCAACACGCCCGCCGACGGATAAAACACACACAACAATAACACGGTTTGAATGTCATTTTTTAATGATAATGCGCATGCGCGTAAAGTGACCATATGTCATATAAAAATGTGCGTGTTGTGTGTGTGGCATACGTAACCGAAAACAATGAATACAAAAGATACCAGTACCAAAAAGGACAACGCTACCGTGCGTGTTGTGTTGTGTTTTGTTAGGTGTTTGTCGGTAACCGAGAACAATGCGTGATCTTAACCTCAAACCAGCTCTACACTTGTTGTGTCGGCGCGCTTTGAGTGATTTTCGAGCGATTACGATCACAGTACTCGAGGAACAAGCGATGCGCACATTTTAGAAGGATTAATCCCCTGCGGCTGAGGTGAGTATCTCTTTCAGTCGATTTTTTATCTCACGCATTGTGAGAAGGTGAAAGCATCTAGGCGAAACGAATGCAGTCAAATCACCTTTTAGCAGCTTACGCCTATCTTTTTAATGTGTTGCAACTGTGTTGGTGGTTGTTTAGTGCCCTTAAGTGGTCAAGTCAAGTGTTAAGACCAGACGGAGCCGGGCCACGCCGACAATGACACACGTAAAACGTCAGAAGGGCGACGGGCGACACCGACACAGACGATAGCGACCTATGGCCCTCCAGTGAATGCAAGTGAGAGGTGGACAGGTAGAGATAGTTTGCGTAATGTGACAGGCGCCACGTCTAAGGTTTTGGTCATTTGATAGTTTACGAGCGTGGTGGAGACGATTCCCGATGATGGAAAAACAAAACAATAGGGACCTAGCTTACTATGTTTGAGTAGGGCGTAAAAGAGAACAAAAAAGGCGCAAAACACATAAAAAACGGAACGCGATTTCACGCCTGGGTTTTTCAATTTTCGGCGTTTGGTTAAGACAACTTTTACGAGTTGGTGAACATAATAAAACGCGTGATTTACAACATTTATGCTAATTTTGCGTTTAGAAATTTAAAAATTAGTAATTATAATGTTGTTGAGGACTTACCTTCCAGGTTTTGTGATGATCATTTCAGTATTGAGCATGTAGAACGAATCCCAAAGATCTTTGTTGAGTAATTTGACATTACAATGCAATTTATCTGAAAATTAACAAATATTTTTAATTAAAACTTCAATCTTCACTGGGTTTATATTTAATATGAAATTCAATTGTATTAAAATAGTTATTTAATTTTAATTTTACTCACCTTGATATAAATAATCCATTTTGTCCGTGTTGATGAAAAACACTTCACTATTTAATTTTAACTTCAAAATTTTCACTGATGTTTTGCAATTTCGCTCGCGTAAGTGTTGATGTAACTGATGGTAAGTCGTTACTGTGTCGAAATGATTGGGGTTGCATCCCTTTATAGGCAAGAGGCATGACTTAAGTCTCTTGTCGCTGATTGGTCGGTTGCAGGGTTGATGGGCGGCGCATAGGGCGCTTTCACAAGGCGCAACGCAACGTGCTTTGCTATCGGGGATTAGCGGCAGGGAGTGCATAAGCTTACAATACTCGCTAATTATTATTGCCTCAAGACTTGAGGAATACCAGAAGAAATGAATGAGAAATGTGCCGTGATGATATTAGATAATATTTCAAAGAATTCATATTTTTAATTAACATGACAACAATTAGTAAAGTTTCATTTTCAATAACATTTTCTACACGTTGTTCTTTTAATTTTAAGTATGATTTTAAGTTGTTTTTGTCAAACGTAGGTTTATTGCAGCTTAAGTGTTTTGGCATAGAAATGTTATCTGTGCAGATATTTTGGATGCCCTAACGACTTTGTTTACTTCTTCTGAGTCACATACGTACCTTTGCACCTTATTATTCAAATATGGTAAACAAGATGACACAAACAAAATGACAAAAATAGATTTGTCAAAGGTTAGGTACAGTCATTTATGGCACAAACAGAGTCATAAAAAGGGGGAAATAAATTGAGATGAAGATTAATACAGAAAATCTGTTTAGTACACAAACACATTAATGCACAAAATTTTGTTTTTCAGTTTTGAAACCTAATATAATTCGTGAATACTTACACAAAAGAATAAAATACTAAAATTAGATAATTTATAAATGATTTTATCTTCAAAAGTTCAAAGTTCAATTTGCTTTGTGAAAGCAATAAAATAAAATAAGTTTTTATGATTTTTTACTCCCTTAAACCGCTTAATCAACGCGACACTGCCCTTAGACGCGCAAGTACAAAAGCATTTGCTTAGTTTTGAACAAATGCGCGCAGGTTTCAACAGATTGTTGTCCCAAATCCCAAATCCACAAAACAATATACAACACTTCAGCATTTTTTGCAATTTATTATTTTAGCCTGTATTATTCTATTTGCATGCCAGACTACCCAAGAAGACAAAGCTCCTGCATGTTTATTATATATTATGTGGGTCGTTAGATGAAAATAAACACAGGCATAAGACTGAACAAGTGAGTGGAACCACATGTGCTTCGTAAACAAAAAAATTACATAGTGCAATTTGCTCAAGTGCCATTCAACATTATCATTACTACGCATAGTGTTTTTTTTCTTGTGTAACATAAAAATTGTCTTCATATTGCGTCGCCATTAAGTGACTGAAGTGACATCGGCGGCACATTTCCAATTTGTTACCGCGATGTAAACAGCAGCGGTAAAAGCTTGCACTCGCTTATCGTTTGGTGACTAGACGGGTGTAGGAAGTGTCGCGCCACAGTGACGCACACACCAAATAACACACGTTTTAAAAATTTGAAATTTTCGAAATTTAAGGAAAGTCTGCGTTGTTATTAAGATAATGAGCGCCGACAAGCAACGCCTCATCGAATTGCAGACGAGCAAATCAACGGCGACGGCGTCAGCAGGAGCATTATGCATACATTAGAAGAAGCCGATGACAAGGAGAGTGGCATGCACAGATCCAGACATTATTATTTTATTGCGCTTTTGCGGTTTGAAGTCAACTTAAAATTTAATTTCTGACTTTTAGTCTTTGCAAATGCGAGTTAATCTCAAGGCTCTATAGTGTAATCCTATTGTTATCTAAATTAAACACTTCTCGGTACCTTTTAAATAATATTAGACTTTTTAATAGGCCATATAAAACTTGTTGAACCATTTGAAATGCATGAATGAACATTTGTCGCATTTTACAGCATTCATTGGCATCTCAAAGTGTGGTTCCTCGAATATCACCGTCTTGCGGTGTTTGTTTTCCGGCCTCCTCTTCGGCGCGACGCAAAGTGCATTGGCGACGGCGGCGGTCGAATCTCCGGCGCCTTCTTTACCGTCATGCCGGAGTGCTAAACCCGGCGCGACACCAATGCGGCAACAAGTTGGAAAAAGGTACACAAGCAGTTCTCGAGTGGCATTAGCATTTGCAGCGTGCTCGACGTACTCGGAGGGGTTTAACAAGACTTTTAACACTAGTCGCATTATTGTGATTATTACGACGGGGCGCAAATCGGCTCGGCCGCGCGCCAGGAGGTGGATGAAGAGTCAAGTGGCTGTCTAGACTTTGCCAAAAACCAACAACTGCAACCAACAGACGAAAATGATTAGAGTGACCAGGATGGAAAAGAATACATCCCAGTATATATCAAAGTTAAGCGCCATCCGGAAATACCACTCGTGACTTGCTTTTAACAAGTCGCCCACGAAGTGATAACACCATACGGTCAAGGTATAGTGTTTCAAAACAAGTCTGAAAGAAAAAAGCATAAATTATTTTATTTTTTTCAATTTATTTTTCATTTTTTACCATTAATCACTTATTTGCTCATATTGAACGTAATCAATGCCCACAAAACGAAAATAGGAAATAACCCTCGCAGGTAGTTTAACCCCCCGGTGATGGTACTTGACTTTAAGTCTTGTATCCTTTTTGCAAGCGCCACCTCACTCGACTTGACGACATTTTTATCCTGGCTAATCGCAGTTGTAATCTACCCACCAGTTTATTGTACTTTCTCATTTTATGACTTACCGGTGAATCAAGAGCGCCCAGACTAATGTCCAAAACGGTGTCTTAGAAAGTTTCTAAAGGTCTACGGGCCATGATAATTTGCATGACTTGTAAAAGCACCGGAAAGCACTTACTAATTGTATAGTGAGTGCAAGGTCCTTCCGGTACGGTTCGGTTGGGTTGTTTAGAATTATCAGATCGTAAAACTGAAATCACAAAAGCGCAAAAGTACTGTACTTACAACCTTGAAGGAGATTACGTTAATTGCTACGTACTTCCGTTCATTCAGCATCAATTGAGGTAGTAAATATCTTTCGGAAGGAAATATTTAAATGTGACGTTTGGAAAAGTAATTAAATTGTGCACAAATTTAAAGTATGAAGGCAGAAGACGGGATGGCGTATAAATTCGTAAATAAAATACTAATAAATGCGGATTACGTATTCAAGATGGAGGATAATACAGTTGGAGATATGTGACACACTTTTGGTTTTAAAACCTATGCAGCCAACAAAGCACGCAAGTTGGTTCCGTAGTGTAGCGGTTATCACGTCTGCTTTACACGCAGAAGGTCGCCGGTTCGATCCCGGCCGGAACCACGTTTTGCGTTACTTTTACCTGAATTTTATTCTTTATTGCATACATTTAACTGTTTTATTACATATACAGGCAATTACTTATTAGACATCAAGGTAAATTAAAAAATAAAATGCAAGTATACAAACGAATTACAACAATAATAAGAAAAATTAGATAAATTTCCTTTCTATACATAATAACTCCAAAAACAAAAACTGTTTCTTTCGAATAACATTCTATACACTTATTACCACGTGTACATACACAAAATACATAAATTTAAGTGCATTTGAAGTAATTTTTAATCAAATAATCGTCAATGATGACTATTGCCCAGCAAGAATCCCCGCCAAGTCATTATTCAGCTCCTTCGAATCAACTTGCAGATTCTTTTTCTTATTGTGAGCCTCCATTGTGCTGCACATTTTCTTGTGCACAAACCAGTGCATTTTCTGGCAATATTTATCGCAATATGAGACGCACTTGCACTTTGCGCATTTCTTAGTCGCCTTCTCTTCCCCGCATGTTCCACAACTTCCGGATTCATCTACGAATGCCCTCTGGCCGTTCACGGCGGCAGAAACTATGCTCAACGCCGACGGAGAGTTCTCATCCGCTGTCAACGAAGCCACCATCTGCCTGAGCAAAGTACTTTCTATGTATGGAAATGACTTGACAGCGTGTCGAATCATCTGGTCCATTGCATCCTGATCTCCTGAACGATTCACACGTAAAATCTGTTTAGCGAAAACATCGACAAAGGTTTTTCTTGCTTCTCAGTGTCTTCGATCTTTTCGTCATTTTTTCAGGTTTATTTTCTTTCTTCTCTTTTTACCTTTGGAATCCTTCATCTCCATAATTATTTTCTTAATTTCACCCAGCATGAATGACAAATAGTGATACTTGAACGCCAGTACTTCATTTGTAGCCTTTGCTTTCATTTCTTTCTCTGACATCAACTCCAAAACCTTCTTCACACCATCAATATGATCAGCTAGGGAATAAGCATTCAACAGCATTGCAATCTTCATTGGGTGCATGTTGTACATCAACACAAACTTGTAGACATTTTCAGTAATTTCTGGATCAATGAAGGGTTTTGTTTGACTTCCTTGGATTTTCGAATAGTGATCAATCTCTGCTTTTGGTATAAAGTTGTTGATTGTGCTTACAATATTGTGGTAGCCCACAAATGACGCCAGTTGTGCTGCGGTGCGGTTGATGGAGTTCAACGCGTTGGTTTTCACGCCGGCAGCGAGGAGAAGATGGCACACATCCACGTTTCCGCTAAGGGCTCCAAAGTGAAGGGTGGTGTAGTCATTAGCATGTTCACATTTGTTAACATCAGCTCCCTAAATAACAGAATAGCAATATAATAATACATTTGATTGGATATTTGAATCAAATTAGTCATAGTATTAAATAACTCACTCTTTTAAGTAAAAGTTTGACCATATCAGTATTGCCGCGATATGCCGCTTGTTGTAAGGGTGTCATTTTGTCATCATCAGTAAAGTTTATATCTTCTTTTGGGTTTTCAGCCAAGATCTTGTAGAATGCTTCCAAATTCTTGGTTTCAATCGCATTCATGATCTCCTTTTGCTCTGCACTGAGCTTACTGTTGACCTGTTGTCCTTGATTAGCCTCATTTTCTTTGTTGTTCGCCATGATATAAGATTTTCTGTGAAAATTGTATTGTTTTCTTGACACACTAGCGAAACAAGTGAAAATGTGAGATTTTCTAAGGTTATTTTAGGTAAAATTCAACTAGTACTGTTCCAACAGTAGGCAACCCATTTGACACATGAAAAAATCACTTTTAAAGACATTAAATGAAAATAAATTTCTTACCCGGGTTAAATTTGTGATGTACTTCTAAGCAGTGAAAAAACTACAATGGGAATTAATTCAACACAATGTTGTTAATACATGACAAGAGTGATCGAATAAAGTTATTTACCTCGGTGCCAGTTCGTGTCGCGTGCCATTTACACGTTAAACAAGGTAATTATGTTGATAAATACAATAATTCGTATTGATGTCGTACTTATTTATGGTGAATTAACTACCTAATCACCCAATTGCGTGAAAGGAGTTAAAAGACAACTCATTGAATGTTTAAAATAAATTTTATCACAAATTATAAAAAATGTATAACAACATTACAAAATGAACCTACATTAAATCAGAACAAATTGCAAATGGCTGCTTGCATTCTGTTCCCATTAAACAAAGGTAACTTATAAGTTGAAAAACATGAGAAATCTTTTTATAAGTATTAACATTCTTCGTCGCTCGCTTAAACAGTGTCTATCTCCACCATATAAATTTAATTATAATTATAATTAAGATAAGGTTTAAATTCGCTTCTCATTTCCTTACAAATATATCAAGTGTACTGCCTCCAATTGTACGCTTAAAGTACTTAACCTATTCTTAGATATATCATTAATAATCGATTGAATACTGCAATTAATTCAGCTGCTGCATTAATCATATTTATCAATATTAACATGTTCATTACGAGCTAGTATTATTAATGTAAAATAATATTTGTGGTTATACTTATTTAGCGCAGGAGGAAGTAAATGGCTGTTTACTGCCTCCTTGGGTAACATTCACTTGAGTTCAATTCAAGATTACTTAGTAACCTTATTTAATAGTTAATAAATTACTAGTAGCCGTCAAATGCAAGTGTGCAGACGACGAGCTTGTTTATCTTCTATATTGCTACCTAATACAATTCTCTACTTTTCTCATCAGCAATCGATCAACTAAGAATTTATAACTTACACGCGACAAATATTCTAGTGTTAACTACACAGTGTGTGACAGAAGCTTAGAGTATTTAATATTTACGATTTTACACATATATTCATGTATATTGAGGCGATCGGGTTTCATTTGAACGAAAAAAAATGAAAATTTTGTTTTTAAAATTATTCTGGTATGACTGGAATCAAAAGCTAATGGCTGTTTAGCCTTTGATTTTGATTTTAAGTTGTGTACTTATTTGATGGCTTTTGCTTGATGTAGGTGTCTATGAGTACTTAAAAACAAAGTCAAACATAGTATACATCAAAGTTGGGCTTTTTATGACCGTCGAGCGTAAATGCAAGGACGGTGTCGACCATATTGCCTCAAACGTCTTCCGGTGGCGGTGTCGTTGGCACCCCTGATAATCCAGATTAACATGATTATTCTCCATTCGTACTGCAACACCATTTGTTTGCAATGCTTGCTGTGTGTCCCTCCACGGCGTTGTTAATATTTTGAATCTCTGCAGGCAATCACCATTTTATTTTAATACTATATTAAAACATTAGAAGTTAGGTTATGTTTACCTTTCTTACAGATCCTGGTGTGGTGAGAATTTTATAAATGGCAACACCTGGTATCATGATTATCGAAGATCCCGTAATACACCAGCCGAGCGCGTTGGCCCACATTGGATACTCGTAATCCTCGTACCTCAAAGGTTCATATCCGAGGAGACCGTAGACAATGATGAAGAGCAGGAAGACAGGAGCGGCAAACTTCCAGCAGAAGCGCCAGTAAATCCCAGGTGCAAAACCGATCATGTCTTTGATGTCGTCACAAAAGCGCTGTGTGCCATATATCCATGAAACAGCAATTGCTTCAAAGAAGACGGCGAAGAGCATTGAGTAACCAGCAGCATAACGATCAAGCAGATGGAAGAAATAGAAACCTCCTTGGGAGCAAGACGCTAGGCCGACTACAAAGTATAAACTGAAGAGGCCCGCAACAAAGATTTCTCGGTTACGACCAATTTTTGGGAACTCGTCACTAAGCGCTGTTATAATGGCTTCCGATCCTCCAAACTAAATCAAATACAAATTAAATTAAATTATAAACTACTTTTATAGGAAATACTTACTGAGCTGTCAAGGCCCAACGTCAACAGCATCATGAAAAGATCAGAGCCCAGAAAATACTTCCCGGCATGGTAGCAATGGCGGCCGGATATACAACAAACACAAGACCAGGACCTTCTGTCGCAACCTCCTGAATAGGCATATTTGCAGCGTGCGCCATATATCCTAATACCGAAAAGATTACAAACCCAGCGATGAAACTGGTCGCTGAATTTATAATCGATGTCAAAATTGCATCCCTAGGAAAACCAATGTTATGGTTATATTCAATATATAACCTCAATTATGTACACTTACTTATATACATTGTTGTGATATTTATTGTATGATGCGTAAGCCAACAACACACCAAAGCCTGGCCCCAACGAGAAGAATACTTGTGTCGCTGCATCTACCCAGACCTAACCTCAAAGTATCAAGTTAGGCAACTTAACAAACATACGCATTTTAAAGGTTATACTAAACGTACCTCTGCTTTAGTAATCGCATGAAAGTTTGGTGAGAGATAGTATTTGATGCCTTGTGCGCTCCCAGGAAGAGTAATCCCGCGCACAAGCAGGATAAGCAACACTGCGTAGGGAAAAAGTGCGGTAAACCACACTACCTTGCCGGAAGTGGAAATACCCTTCCATAGAGAGAAGTAACAGATGATGTAGACTGCCAGTAGACACAGTGCAATGTCCCATTTAATCGCGCCCAGATCGTGAAGGCCGCCACTTTTATGTAACTCTAATATCACACGACTAAAATGTACAAATATTTAGTATTGTTTTAAAAGAAACATGTAAATATACTTGAAATACTCCGACGCAGCTGTGTTCATCTTCGGATTGTCCATCACCGTCGTGTTAGTGGAGTTTGTGAAATTTTTTGATGAGAAATCAAACTAAAACAACACAAAATATCAGCTATTAAAGTAAATACATGGAAATGTTGATAGATGGCGCTAGTTGCTTGCCTGTTTACAATTCGGAGTATTCCACTCATTGTCGCAGGATGTCCACGGCAGCATATCCGTGAAGGAGGCAAAGAAGAAGCGTAACGCCCATGCGATGATGACATTGTAGTAGAAGTCGACGTAGAAAGCAATCAAGACAACCGCATAACCGATTCCTGTAACGTTTAGTTTTTTTTATTGTCATGAAGTAATGATGCGAATGTTATGACTTTGGTTTCCTGTCGAAAAAGCAGCAAAAAGTAAAATAATTTGCATTTGGATGATTATGATGTGACTAAAATGTAAAAATTGTGTGCAATAAGAGAACAACTTGAATGAAAAAGTATTTCGTTTTAAGAAATGGGGTTGTGTTGAGCGGTTGGTCTTGGAAGCCACAAGTGCGGCGGTAATGTGAAAATGATGCGGAAAGAAAAGCCTAAACGCTTATTGTCGACTGCGTCTCCTTCGCCAAGACTCAATTATCCACTCCGGAACAGGAAACTGCCGCCAGAGCAGCCGCCGTCGTCTAGGACAAAGTTCCACCGACACCAGAATGCCAGAACAGAGCCGGCAGGGCATAAAATGTGCGAGCACTCCGAAATGATTTCTATCATTCTTTTCATTCTTCAGGATTACGCATCGCGGATAGTGAGTTAATCCTCAGACACTGAGCACATTCACCATCTTTAATATTCAGGACGATGGACCAAGCATGAAATCTGATCGTGACATAAAAGAAGTATGATGGACGGAAATTACCTTTAAACAAGGGCACTAACCGCCCCCAGCATGTGATGGCACCCTTCCGGTTGAATTGCCCCAGCGCTAACTCCATGTAGAACAATGGGATACCACCCACGACCAGCATAATGCAGTACGGAACCAGAAATGCACCTGACGAACAACAACAAAAAATCATCAGTAAACATTTCTTTGCGTAGGTATATAGATATGGGCAGGGAATAATTGCTGAAATTGCTGACATGGATGTAGTAAAAAGCTTTTATGCGGGAGGGGCTGCTACGTTTCCTTTTGACTCTTCGCTTTGATTCTGATCCGACGCGAGGACGGTGTGCAGAGTGGTGCAATATTAAAGTTCATTAAATCGTCGTGATTTAATTAGGAGGACGCTTTCAAGTATTCATAAATATATACAGTGTGTTCCAATATATATCGAACACTATCTTATTTATTTATGATACCTACTTAATTATTAAAGCTTAGAATCCTTACTAATATTATAAATGCGAAAGTGCTGATGTTTGTTACACTTTCACGCAAAAACTACTTAACCGATCATCATGAAAATTTGTACACATATTCTTAGTGGTCCCCGAATAGTTATAGGCTACTTTTTATTTAATAAAAAAAATTATTTTCTAAATAAAATAAAGAAAATGTTTAGCCAATAATACCTCTGCATCTGGCTATTTGACTACTTTAACGCCATCTAGCATTCCAGCAATGAAGCTCAAACCTAAGTACTATAGTACCATCACACTGTATTATCACACTGTATTACCGACAGCTACGTCAACATCAAATCCAATTGACTACACCATGGAGACTGTACACTATACTTCCATGGTCTATACTTTCAGCCATTTTAAACTCCCCGCCATTCTACTTCATTGTTACTTCTTCTGTGACTACAGACGCGTACGGAAGCAACTTCATTATTTTAGATATTCGCGAGCGAAGCCAAGGGTTAAAGCTAGATAATACAGTGTGATGGTACTAGGTTTGAGCTTAATTGCTGGAATGCTAGATGGCGTTAAAGTAGTCAAATAGCCAGATGCAGAGGTATTATTGGCTAAACTATTTCTTTATTTTATTTTAAAAATATTTTTTTATTAAATAAAAAGTAGCTTATAACCATTCGGAGACCACTAAGAATATGTGTGCAAATTTTCTAGATAATCGGTTAAGTAGTTTTTGCGTGAAAGTGTAACAAACATCAGAACTTTCGCATTTATAATATTAGTAGGGATATTCGCGAGCGAAGCCGTGGGTTAAAGCTAGTATTTTATATTTTAAGAAGCTTTGAATATAATTATCCTTCATTCAATTCCGATTTGATACGATTTGAATCATAAGGTAAAATTGTCTTTGGTCGAATTGAATTGATCGCTTTTGAGCGACTTATATCGATGTCGAGATCCTCATCCCTTCTAACATGCCCTTGGGGAGTATTAAGCTTCTCCTGCTATTATTGCGTCTCTTTTCTGCGCGTTTCTTGTTGCGTATTGTTTTGCTCAACTTGGTATTGTAACTTGCAACATCATGCATATTCGGAAATGTCGCGAAAAGTTGCTACTTTAATGACTTGCTCCTTGCCGAAATTCACACAATAGATATTAATTTTTTTGTCCATCTGAAACTTTGATGTACTTTCGACTTCTTGTCTTACAACATAGGAGTAGGAGTAAATCAACGCCCGGAAACGTATTGGAATATTCTCCACTTCATTTTATGTCAATTAGTGCTCCTACCCCGGAGACCTCGAAGGGAAGGAAAATGGAGACGCACTCACTACTATTATATTCATATAGATTGGCGCGCCGATAATGGTTCGATACTTTGCTGGCGACAAAATTGAGGCTGGTCGGCCGAGTGATCTCTTAAGTGCTTACAGATTGGCACAGATTGGCTCCTCTGTGTGTCAATAATCGGTTGGCTAATTGAATTTCGCGCCCCGGAAACGATCCCCGGCTGGAGAGCTCCTCCACCTCATCCCTTTTATCATCATCGAAGAAAATGAGATATTAATTTTCGTCATATAGCTAAAAATTTATTATATAAAAGGGAAACATTTTCTACCTGAAGTTCAGGAGAAATTAATCTCATTCGGTGATTGTTTGTGACAACTCGGACAGGATTTTTACGAATGTTGCAATTCATCATCAAATTGGAGAGTGGACGCAGTTTGCGGAAGTCAGCAGTCAGAAGTTTAATTGATTCATTGTTTCCATATATTTTTTCCTCAATTGTCACAGAGAATTAACTTGTTTGCGAAAGAAATTAGAAATCTTATCAATCCTTAGCAGCACTTTGAGCTAAACCAACTCCGTTTTGTTTCCTGAATTCTATTTCTAAGTTTTTTGTTGAAAATGAAAAGAATAAGATCAGAAATGTGGATATTTTTGATTAGAATGAGTGAAATAATAAATTGCTATAATTCAGTTTCAGAATGTCGAACGTGCAGGCCGAATGGGTGGATGGGCGCATATCAACCCATCAACTGCACGCGCCCTCCTCGAATATATCACAATACGCGTGCGGGCATAAACCACTCGGGTCCGAACATGCCGAGCATCATCGCGCACTCGTGCCGCGAAACATTCCCCACATTACAACTCGCATCCCTTTGCCCACCCCCCAAACAATTTGACGTTTAGCTACAATGCCAATTTTCGAATATTCTCAACCATTCTCAATGCTAGTCTTAATCCATATTCATATAATTCATATTTCCGGTTTTCTGCTCTTTTGAAATTTTCATTCTTCTGCGTTAATTAAATCATCACATCATTTGCATTGCATACATTCAAATATTCTAATTTTAAGGATTAAGATTTAGGAAATTGAGTTGGGTCTATATAACTTACCGCCGCCATTCTTGTAGCATAAGTATGGAAAGCGCCACACGTTGGCGAGGTCGACTGCAAAGCCGATGACGGAGAGCAAAAAGTCGACTTTTTTGCCCCACGTCTCACGCTCGTCACCGTTGGGGATCGGCGTCGGCGTGAGAGTCGTCGTCGTCGTCGTCCCCGTGAGGATCGTCTTACTCGACGTCATCTTTACGGCGTTCGCCGAGGATACGCTGTCCGACAAATCGCTACTAAAGAAAACAAACAATTTATAGGCTTTTATTAACGTAATTCTTTTTGGAAGTGCGTATGATTGACACTGGTGGATTAATTTGTCGATTAACACCGGACAGGACAGGTCAATAGCGCCACTCGACGCTGCCCGCTCCATAACACATTTCTCTTGTCGCCATCACCGGATGACAAGCTGGACGATGGCTCGTCATGATCTCAATCACCTTCCACATCATGATTTTAAATCAACAATTTTTTTGGTTGAAATTATTGATGTAAAAGCATTTTTCAGCGCTTGTTTGCAATACACTTCTCTAAACGTGAACTAAGACTTAAATATACTATAAACTATTAACCTTTTACACAAAAAGAAAGAAAAATTGCAAATAATTGCAAATTGTAAAAATTATGCCATTTTCCAGTAATTTTCGTTTATTTTTGAATGATTTTGAGGTGCTTTTGAATTGATATTGAAAATTTCGGTCATTGCTTGCATAAAACTTTACTAAAATTTATTAGAATTATTTGTTTGTTGTTTAAACACGGTATAGCTACTATTCAATTATATACTATATTAAAATACGTTAACTACACTCACGCAATAATAATTTCTCTAAAAATTTTCAAAATACATTCAATAGCAGCTATTTAAACATTCAAGTCGTGATATATAAAGTTATACCATGGATATCGTGCAAGTCGTTATTTAGAAAAATCTATTTGTGCAATTTATGTCAGCGAATATGTAATGCCAATGTAATTCTTGTTTACCTTGGTGCAAAGTATCATATTTACGAAGAATTAACAATTAAACTACGCAATTTCAAATACAAAAACAAAAAATTATCACGTAAATCAAGAAAAGAATAAAGTTAAGAAAAAAGTACATTAAATGACAATTACCTTTAAAACTTTGAAACTTTAAAACAGATTTTAATTAATAAAGTTTCAATCCTTGTATTAACATGTAAATGGTGTGTTTGGATGTAAAATTGCTGTTTTTGATTGTTTTAAATTGTTGTTTACTAACTTTGTGTGTTAATACCATCAAAATCGTGCTAATTCCTGTTATACTTCCGCTCGGCATTATTACGGCTACTATAGTAAATGAGATACTTTTTAACAACTCGTAAACCAACGCAGTTAGTGGCAGTCAATTAGAATTAATGACAAGTGACTTAATAAAGCGCAATAAGAAACAAAAAAATACAACCGTTATAGTTATATGTGTAAAAATTACGTTTGTAGGCGTATTAATTGCATTTTTTAACTGAGTTTACTTCAAGGTAACATTCCGTTAATTATGAACGAAAATATTTAACAAATTTAATATTTGTTGGTAAATATGATAGTAAATTAAGTAAAATTATGCACTTACCTCTTTTGGGAGTCGCGTTCGTCTTGCTGGTGCGCCTCCTCCGTGGTGGCAACGTTGGGTGTGCACGGATGGCGATGCGAGCGCGGCGTGCGGCCGCGATGGCATGCCGCGGAGTGGTGGTCGGTGGTGGCGGCGCCGCTCGCCCTGCGCCCCAAGCAACCGTCTCAGCGCCAGAGCGTGCAGATGACGGCGAAGCTGGAGTCGGTCTGGCCCATGCTCTGCCGCCGCCGTCGACGGAATGCGCCGCGGCCGGCCATCGCGTCCGCTTTTGGCAAAGCCGCCGCCGCGCTGCCACCACCGTCCCTCTACCACCTCGTCGCCTCTTCGCCTGATCTCTTGATTCATGACCTCCGTTGGCTACAAGGCTTTGCAATTTTCGCCGAGGTTTTATCCTCTTCACGTGCACCACTATCTAAAACACCACCTAAACACTTGAATATTTTACTGATTTGCTATGTATTTATGTTGGGAGTGAAGTGCGAGACACTGAAAACTTTTCAGTTCTCTTGAGTTGAATATTTTGCTGGAAAAATAGGTTTTCAGCAATTTTAACAAGTGTGCTACTTGTACTGAAACATTCCTAGTTGTATGTATCATGAATTTAATTCAATTACTAAGCTAATGCCCAATTATCACTCATTATCCACTTGCCGACAACTTGTTGCAGCTCACGAAACTAAGTATAAATAAATAAATGCTTCGAAGTGAAGTAAATTTTAATGCGTTTCTATGTTGCAATAAAATGCATTAAAATTACCGTAGGCAACACCGGCGCATATGAAAATCGGACACTTTCTACCACCCTCGTCGTATGATTAACGATTGACATAAGTAAAAATCCTTGTATGGCCACGTCCATAAAAATATATCGCGTTTTTTACTCGCATTTCGTTATTCACTTTTTCGGCGTTACTACAAAGGTATTTACGAGTGAAATTGCGGAAAGCTAAGTGAAAATAAATCAGATTACATAAGAGTTTAAAAATATCAAATACAATGATAGGTATAATTGTTAAACTATTGCTAAAATTAGTTTCTACAAGATGCATACCTTTAAGCTCATTAAACTCTTTTAACTCTTTGTGTTATTGGCATTTTTAAATTCTGTTTTTGGATTCTGATAGATAATTTAATTCTACATCGATTATTTTAGTAACTTTTTTTAATAAAATTAACCGTTTAGGCCCTATTTACAAATTTTAGTGTAAATTGCATTCAACATAAAAAAGAGAAATTTTTTGCCTTTTTTTATGATGAATTTTTTTTATTTAAACTAATGCAGTTTCGGTAATAATTAGAATTTTTAAATTCTGTTTTTGGTTTCTGGTAGCTAATTTAATTCCACATCGATTATTTTAGTAACTTTTTTTGATAGCATTAACCGTTTGGGCTCTATTAGCAAATTTTAGTGTAAATTGCATTCGACATAAAAAAGAGAAATTTTTGCTTTTTTTATGATGAAATCTTTTATTTCAACTAATGCAGTTTCTGTAATAATTAGAATTTTTAAATTCTGTTTTTGGATTCAGGTAGATAATTTAATTCTACATCGATTATTTTAGTAACTTTTTTTGATAGCATTAACCGTTTAGGCCCTATTTGCAAATTTTAGTGTAAATTGCATTCGACATAAAAAAGAGAAATCTTTTGCTTTTTTTGTAACAAAATCTTTTCTTTAATTTTTTATACGTATTTGTTTGTTTTACAAAAACTATTCTATCATGTTGAGAATTCCTCAAGCATTAAGAATATTAAGTACTTTCTCCTCTAACCCCTTTAATTGACAAGATAATTACCATTTAATCTTTGAAATTTTTTGATGGTGGAGGCGCCTTTCGACAATTTCGACCTGAAATATGTATTTAAAAAAAAATTCAACCGTCATTCGACAGGTAAAAAAATAATTTCAAACAGAATATTCAACACAAAAATGAAAAGTACATTGTTAGTACACATGATCAGAACGTCAGAAGCCAGTTTGTATTCATCCAATGAAAAATTAGTACGTTGGCGAATCGTTAAACAACACGTATGTGTACTTACCATATCACTTTATTACCTTTGTACTGGAATTTAATTACCAACACAAAAATAAACAATTGTTTACAGAATCCAAGCATTTTCGTAAGTTTGTTTATATAAATATCTAGATACAACAAATAATAAAGAATTTGCTATAAATAAAGATAATTATTTAAGAAATTACTTGAAAAACTTACTATGGACTTCACAATATACTCCTAAGACTAATCTCTGTTAATATCTCATCAGTAATTTCAAATTGGTGATTTGCAGCGCGTTTTCTTTCACGGCGGCCATTAAATCTCTCGGCCAATAAACAAGCACCACCAAAGTCTATGTTGTTTCTCCCTCTCACTCGCCCATCTGCAACATAGTCGCCTGTTCTATTTTTGATGTGTACGTATCACTGGTGAGAATTCATATGTACACATATCTAGCCCGAAAATTGACAGTTATGTATACATAAGTATGTGCATTTTACGACACACAGTCGTCTAAAAATTAAATTTGCAACATTTACTCGTTGCCAAACAATCAGCTGACGCGCGACACCCACGAAGATAATTCTGGCTGTAGCTCACTTCCCGTTTCCATTGCCATTTTGACAAACCAGATGGAAACAATGCTCAGCTCGTTCACAGTCGTTTACATTTAGACGACGCTGATAAGCCAATTTTGATTGTGCGCAAATAATCATTGCAGGCTGTTCGTGCGTGAAATCATCCGGAATACCTGCAAGCTACCAAATAAACGACGAAAAACACCAGAATACCTGTCAGCAAGTCGACACATTTTGTTTTGGGGTCATTCTGTTTGTTGTTGTAAAACAAAACAGAAAGATGGACGAAGGCGGAGACGGTTTCGATCTTTGCGAATGCATCTGGGGTCATGAGCTCTCAATGAATCGATTACTATCATTGGTAGGTAGATAAACAAACAATTTTTATAATAATTAGCTTATTTATTGACAACATTACAAATGCAAATATATTCAATGTTTTAGTTGAGACAATCACAAAGCCATTGCACAGATACAGAATGTTTTGTGGATGCCAACCAGCCAAGGCAGGAAACTGCTTCAGATTACTACATTGTGATGTCTATTATGCTTGTGATCTACTTTTTTATGCACTACTGGATGGTGAACCATCGCAGAGGACGCAACACTATTGCTGGTGATACCAAACCATCCAATGGACATGTAAATATCTATTTCAAATCCAAACAATTTGCTTAAATTTATTTCTCAAGGGTTCTAATGATGGTCCGCCAACACCACCACCGTCAACAACATAAGAAAAGATATTAAATCAATTATTGAAGATAAACGACGAAAACTTGCGACTATGGGTATGAAATTATATGTAGAGGAATTTATAATTTAATTGGTATTTCAAAAATGTTTATGAGTGCAATTCTTAGCCGGTCTAAGAAAAAAGAAGAGTGGTATAGTAATTAAAATGATGATATTGCTTTAATTTTCTAATTTTAGTTTAAAATTCTTAAAAAATCAACACGGAAATAGTCACATTCCTTTGAAATACTCTACACATCTAAATTATTCAAATAATTTAAATTTAAAAATGGTGGAGGATGATTTATTTTGTTCACTGAATGCACACTCACTATTTTATGCTGTAAAATATAATATAGAAAAAGTTGAAGCGTCAAATATGTATAATAAATATTTCAATGGTATTTTAACCAATTATTGCTATCAGTATATAATTATGACATCAAGGTTTATGCAATAATAATAATATATTGTGTTTTATAAAAATGTCTGCAGATTAAATATATATTTTCACATGCTTGGTGTTGATTAATACAAAAATAGATAGCTTTTGAACAAAAAGATTATTCCGTTCGGTTTTAAGAGATCGATTTGACGTGTATTAATTCATATTTATATGTTTGAAAAACTTGTACTAGATCGGTTATTATTCTTTATATGTTACTTTATGGTTAAATTATCTCTTGTTTAATTCTTAAATTCTAATTTACTCATAGCTATATCTTGATAACTAAATTGTTGTTCGTCATTTGGTAAATCTTACGTTTGAAAGCGCGATTTCAAAGTACTGCGGACTTTTTGCAGAACTGTTGTCATCTGTTCGTATTTCCCAGACGCGTTGGCCAAATTCTCAAAATTGATAACCGGTGACACATCTTTCTGGAAGTTATCTAAGGAAGGTAGGCGCGCGTACGGTGATAATGCTTTGAGGATTGGCGTTCCTGTTAAACTACCATTTATAACACCCATTTTTGTCGAAGGAGTTGATGGTGTTACCGCGGTCGAAACATCTTCATCTCGGGTATTGTTAATTGTAGAATCTAAATCCATGCCTGGATTTGTCTCGTCACAATCTACATTTGTGCTCAAATCAAGCGATTTTTGCTTTGTATTATTAACAACTGCCGATGATTTGTTTGCTGTCGTTGCATTTATTGTGTCATTCGGATTGGAGTCATCATTCTCGTTGGTTGTAAGTTGTTCCAGCAGTTGTCGTTTTTGCAATTCTAAATCATTTAATGATGGTGAAGGTGACTTCTGCTTCCTTTCCACTTGTGATTGTTGTTCCGCCTCATGGTGAGACATATTATTGACAAATTCAATCATGTTCTCTTTGCTCAGGGCCGTGGAATATGGAGGTACTCCATAAAAGTTGTATTCCTAATTAAATTTTAATCAATTGATCTGTAAAGATTTGAAATTGTCTACTTACATCTCTAGATCTTCGGTCCGGTTTGCAGTTAAACCCTGGATAACTTATAATCTTTTCAGGTAAAATTGAATAGGGGTTCAATGTGCCAGATTTGCCATCCTTCTTGCCATCACTGCCAAAAACCGCTATATTATAGTGACATACTCTCGCTTCCTCCAGCCACCCGGGCGGATATCCCATAACTCGCATTTTGTAAACATGGGGGGGAATGTCGTATTTCCTTATTCCAATTGCTCTCCTCAAGGTATCTGATATTTCTCCAGGTATCATAGGTTTATTTATATTAACGCCTTCTTCATGATACCTGGAAGACACAAACAAATTAGATGTAAAGAATAAAAGTGTATATAATATTAAGCAAGAACCCACCTAAATGGTTTGCCACCATAGGATTTTCGGACCTTATTGATCCTTCTATGATTCCTTCGCACTGGACAATTTCTCACATGGTGGTTACCATTGCAATTAAAGCAAGAAATCACTATGCCTTCTTTCTTCTTATTACTGGCTTGCTCCTTTTGTCTCTTCAGGCAAAGGTTCATCAATAAATTTATATTTACTTTTATATATCGGACAATTTGTCGGTTGTGAAGTTGGTTCTGTATCAAGTATAAACAAATTATCAATCTTATGAGATTTCTTTTCATTTTGATCAATCTCATTACTCTCCACAGCATCTTCCACACTATCCCCAACTTTTTTAATCACTGACAAGTCCTTCAGGTCAGTATCTTTTGTCAATAGTAATTTATTCTGTTCCTCTAGGTATTTAAATTGTTTGAAACCTTGACAAAAGGTTCGAAATTCTTGTTTATATTTATCAAACAGCTCTGTACTTGAAAATTTAATTTCAATGCTTTCATCTTTTGATACACTAGTTGATTCAGGAGGTGCAACTTCTGTGACTTCCCCGGCGTCCATAGATTCTTCTTTGGCTTCATTATCATTTTCGTCATCGGAAATAATGATTTCTTCTAGGTTAGTTGACTTTTCTATGCACTCGTCGTCGGAAATTAGTATTTCTTCTGATATGATAGTTCTTCCTGGTGGAGCCTCCTCGTCAGTAGACAACATCATTATATCGGATTCGTCATTGATTGTTACAACACCATTATCGGGCGAATTATCTTGCATTTTTCTGCCTCTATCAGTTACCGCCTGATCTGCCATTATAAAATAATGCTGTTTATGCGCCGTTTGAAAATTTTGTCATTTAGATCATGTACAATAGAATTTACTACGTGAAACAAATCTAAACGAAGGTTAAACGATATGACGACGCTATACTACATTGTCCATGTGATTTCTTCACCTCAAAGATAAGTATAGTTTCATTGGGAAGCTATAGGTGTCGCTAGTAGTAGCATTTCAATAATTTTGGTCATGTTTGTTTACTAAGCGCATTTGAACAAATAAAATATTTGCGAACGCATCTTTAACGTTTCTAATGCTTTTTACGGAAAAGTATGTTAAATATTGTCGATTAGTGTATAGTTGCTTGCCAATCGGCCCACATTGCAAACTCATCGGTTTTGTTGGCTTGTTGTGTACCATGCTCTGTGCGTTGCGCGCGGCGCAGAAGACGAGATCAGCTGTTCTTGTGTCAGTGCACCCGCCTTGCGTCAGTGTGTCGCGGTCGTCATCCGTGCAAATCCCGCGACACTGGTGGTTTTTGTGGTTCGGCCTTTGATAATCGCAATCACACGAACGGACACCTGATTTGAAATCAAATACGGCGACTGTGTAAACAAACATTGTTGGCGTGCGAAATGCTCACACTTAATTATCGATTTCGAGTGTTTTTTTCTCGCGTGGCGCACCCGGAACTGGCGTGAGTCTCCGCGTCTCGTCGACGAAAACAACATAAAGCTAATGGAATCATCTGCATATTTTAAACTAATACGTAACTATCGCTGTACTAATAGTGAACGCGAAAATTGCTAATTCTATCGAAAATAGGTGTGTACGAATTTGTTCGTGGATAGTTGTCAGTTGGTTTTTGTTTGCGACATCGGAAAGAATAGTGAATTAATTGCGGCTTGCCTTCTAACCGGGTAGAAGCCGTTAGAAGTTAGTGGGTAAAAAAATCGTGTCGTCTTCTTTGCGCGGCCGGCGAAGAGTTTGAAGGGTTGTGGCGCAAGAGTGAACAGGGCGACATGACGACAAGACGCCCGTGTGTCTATCGCCATGGCAACGCGTGCGGCGAGGGTGGTATGCGTCGGCGGGAGCGACGCCGCGACGCCACCCAGCGTCGACACTGTGTTTCTGCTGAGGACCACTGAAACCTGCAAGTAAGACAACAACAACATTCAATTATCTTAAACAAACAGAACATAACTCGCAAACAACAAGTGAAACAAAAGCGAAACGATTATCTTATATATTAAGAATAATTCGAGTTATTGTTGTTTATTCATAGTTTGTTTCAAAATGAACAAAACCGCGGAAAACTCCCTGGCGGGGAATGCTGAAACTACAGCATTCTCTCCTAACCGCCATGAAACCGAAGAGTGCACATTTTTAAAATGCACTCCAAGAGAAACTTCCCTTGATACATGTAATCAAAATCTTGATCAGGATGAACAATCAAAAGATTTAAATGAATCAAATACTGAGCATGACATACAAGTACAAGCAGAAGCAGAGGAAGGCGATGAACTCGTGATCGAAATGTTCGATGATGCCGAAGAAGAAAATGGCGATGAATTTGTAGACGCTATCAACGAGTACGTCAATGAAGAGGGCGCTGTTGGTCTGGCAATGTCCGCCTGCGAATCTGATGGAGTGTGGACGGTTGTGTGGAGTGTTGCAGACTTTCAAGAAGGTGATTTTATTGGATTGGTTCGAATCGGTGAGTTACTAAATTTTTTATTTACTTGCTTATAACATGCAAATGCATATGAGTGGTCGTAAATTTCGTTCATCTAACGAGGTATTTAAACGAGAAAAGTGCGGGCATCCTAATCGTTTACGTATAGCACAGTTAACCAAGCGAGAAACTTGTGATTTAATTTTAAAAGTAACTTTGAAGAATTCTATCAGAAAATCTCGTGTCGGTGTTGGGATTATATCTTCGGGCTGACGCAGCACACGCGATGCAGAGATAATTCGTGCTCTATCTGCTTTTATCCTTTATTGGTAAAAGAATGAATGTACTCGAAGGAATGTGGACGCGGCCAACATGGAATTCGACGTGATACGGCATAGATTTTTACGTCTTAATGTTTAAACTTGTTTAAAACAAAGAACTAATGTCAGTGTTTCACATTCACTGATAACTTTTGTTTTCTGGAAGTATACCTATGTGACACACACATTTTGGTAAGTATTTAGTATTTGCAGTACTGGATCCCTTATTGCTTTACGCTGCTAGGACTTCTGTATTGTTATCATGAACGTTGCACTTGAAGATTACTTATGAAGTATTTATTGAGTGTGTTCACACGTGTCCTGGTGTCCGCTTCGCAGCATTTCGTAATGAAGCGGAAGGGAATGTGAGCAAAGGTCACTTAAGTTGCATTTCATTTCATTCGTTGTCTTTTGTTTTATTCTTCCTGAACAGACGTAGACGTAGTTAGAATGTCGGTAAGTATTATCAAGCTAGTTTGGAAATTTACAAAACGCATTCTTTTTTATGATAGGTATGCCGATTCCCTTTTACCACAAAATTATTTTTAAATGCTTTAAAATTATGATGAATCTGACATAATTTACAAAACTTTATGTTGAGGTTTTTGTATTTTAAATCTTTGAACTTCGTTCGCACAGTACAGGAAAACGTAATAATTTACATTTTATTTTATTTATTGAATTAGGTTTCAATATATAAATATTACTATTTTTAGCAGATGCGGCTTTATATTAAATCTGAAAGCTTAGTCTAATTGCAATTGAGTGTGAATATTAGGATTTCAGGTTGTACGAGTTCTTTAGGTTTCCTCACCTACAAGTGCTACTAAACCTGGTAACGTGGTCGTTCCGATCGCTAACGTGGTGCTGTTTTACAACGCATTTTCGTAATGAATGTAAGAAAGTCCCCCACGCGCGACTCGTCGCACCACAACTCGCCGGCATTGTCAGTCGACTCCACCAACGAACGCCAGTGTATGCCGTGCCATCGTTGGTGTAGTGTGCGTGGTGCACAAAAAATAGCACCGAAACACGTATAGGGAATAGACAATAAGTAATTCTTTTCTATGACGTAATTACTAAAGTCGTACCAAAAATATTGAAGCATTCTGAACGTGAAATTGAATTCATTTGGAATATTTAGGCGCATTTACACGTGACAACTAGTGTGAAAGTGTTATAATTTACACCTGGATTAAATAAATTTCATTTTGCTGAACATGTAAGTTTTTATTTGTCAAATATGTGTTGTTCGATTTATGTTACTTTTAATTATAGTAGGCACTACTCGCATAGCAAATGCTAGAGTAGTATTCATTACTATTATTATTATTTGTACTTTCGATTTACTCATTCGCATTCTCACTCCTGCGAGTTGTGAGTTGGAGAGGATTTCGCTTCGAATTCCATTCCATGAATGAACTGCGCGTCGTAGGTCGGTTGTGCAACCAGCATGCCATGAATGAAACACACGGCACGATTTCATTCATAAAATCCACAAGCCGCGACTTGTATAGTGTCGCGAGACAACGCGACTCGGCGGATTGAGTGATAGTTGCCGACCCAACTGCGCAATCATTCAACTACCCAGTTCTATTTTATTTTACTGCGAAAATACGATAAATATATTCACTTCAAAGGCATGTAAAGACGAATTTCTTAAATTAACCGTGTATTTACAATATAACATAAAATTAGAAAATATTTACAAATATGGGATTAGGTTTAAATTATTTTGTCTCTCTTAATCGTGAGTTATTGAGTGTGAAATGAGTGTTGATGGCTGCAAATGGAATTGCAATACTGCACTTTAATTGGGCGCACTAATTTTAAAGAGCCGCAACGTCGTGCTTATCAACCCTACATAGCGCAATGGTTTAATTTAGCATTTAATGTACTAATTATGTGAAAGGGTTGCCACACCTTAATCCGAACTGCCTACGAATGAAAGAAGCGAGGATAATATAACTAATCAACTTTAATTGCATTACTTTGGGTATTTAATGAATTGAATTTTACTTCTTTCAAATTTTTCTCTATTTGTATTAATGGGCAAGTCATGCGATATAAATTGAAAGTGTTCATATTTTCTGGCATACTTTTTTAAATTGTGCACAGAATTTGCGGGCATTTTTTGCCTTGGCAACAAGAAAGCAAATCAGCATTTTTTAATATACCTATGGTTGTTTTTAATATTTTGGAGGCCCTGCCGATTATTTTACCACTGTTTTAGTATTAGAATACAAAAAATCGTAGCTCTATGAAAAGTGCGTACGCTGTTGATTTTTCTTAAAATAGTGAAGGCCATTAAATTGTATTTTTATGTTCTTTACACATGCTAAAATTGAAAAGCTGGATTTTCTGGCGAGAGTGGCAGTCAATCATTATGCCCGAATATAATACGAGTAAGAGAATAAAAGGTCATTTTCGAGATGAACTCGGCGGTGCAGACAGGTGTTGTTGCGTAGTGAAATTAACGTACGATAAATTTTATTATGATAAGCGTTGATAACGACACCATCATAATTGTGTAGGTTGATAACTAAAAACGCATGTTTTACAACATCCTCAGGAAATCGAATCGATAAAAATCGATAAACATGTAAAACAATCATTTATTGCTTTGGATAACCTAATGACGCATCAAAGCCTTCAATGAACAATGTTTTTAATAATCAGATTAGATACTAGTGCAGGCATTGTAAAAGTCTACTTTCTGCACTGTTATTTATTAGTGTAGTGTGTCTGGATATAATTTTAGAATTGAAAGTAACTTTCTACTCGACTGTGTAACACAATATGCAATATTCAACATTCGATAGGTATTTAGCGTGCAGTATATGCACTTTGTTGCATTCATTAGAATATCGTTTGATTTCATTCATGCTTGCCGCATTTAGCAGACAATCACATTTTGTTTCCGTTGTAGTCATTCGCTGTGCCACAATTTGTGGCAATACAACAACGGCATTATTTCTAATATTGATAAAATGAATGAAATCTATGTTGCGACTGATATGAACAAATTCATGTAGCTATTAATACTAGACCAACTTTAACATCGCCCACACGTTCTCAACGCCGTCAGCCCCCGTAATGTCAATCAGTATTGATCAGGATGATAAATTCCAATTGAATAAATTAAACAAATTTAAAGTACTCATTCTAAATTTAAACTTAATAAAAAGAAAAGATAGAGACATTTCTTACTGTGCGCGAGTGTGCTTTGAATTAAAATAAGTTTTCTGTTTTCGATTCTAGAACCTACTCCATGTGGGTGGTCTTGCACTTTTTAATTAAATGAATATATCTAATAATATTAAAAACATTATTCATAAACAGGCTTCCTATATAGGTCAGGTAATTAAATTTAATTTTGTTCAACTTTTTACATGATTTTGTTTTATATACTTGGTTCGCAAGTGCGTTTGTGTACAGTCGTTCGACGCTTCATGTGCCAATTTAAACTGTTTATAAGATGTATCAATTTTATAAACATAACATCCTGTTTATATATATGTTCCATGGCGCTGTTGTGCTACTCAGTTTTGCTGACATTTATTGCAATAAATAATTATCCTCAGACCAGTTGTAGTTGTGCGCAAAAAAATCGTTTTCTAAATTGCAATTTGAATAAAAATTTTCGATGTTTTATAGAGTTTTTAATGCGGGGCCCGCGGAAAGGATGCGCACGCGAATTAGATATTCCTGATGCGCACGACTCATTACTTTGCGTTGCTGCTTCACTTAGCACAATCGGAAATAAAGCGTGAAAACGTATGGAATATACCGACACGCGTCAAGGGCATTCTATGTTATAGAAAAGTTCTTCAATAATATAATTTAAATTAGGAGCTATTTATAAAGTAGGCACGACTATAATATTTTGTATAAAGTTATAAATTAACTCAACTCGTTCCCGCGCGTACTTGAACAAACTTTTTGCCACTCGCGCGCTTTAAGTACTTCCGGCTCAGTTGCATTCTCAAAGTCAACTTGACATCACTACTAGTCTACTAGAGCTATGTTAATATTAATTCTCTGAACTACTTGGTATGAAATAATTTATAACTTAAAACAATTACATTTGTTGTTTTAAAATAATACACATTTTGGAGTTTTTCACCGCCATTTTATAGTTTAAAAGACGCTCTACACAATGCACGCCATTTTAATGCGCTAAACATTCTGGAAATGCCCTAAAATGCCCTTCAAACATCGGCCTTTTTTGGAAATTTTGAAAACATGCTGTGGAAAACACCCTGTATCTCGCAAACTAATACACTTTTTCTGAGTTTTTCACCGCCATTTTTAGTTTAAGAGACGCTCTACACAATGCACGCCATTTTAATGCGCTAAACATTCTGAAAGTGCCCTAAAATGCCCTCCAAACATTGGCCATTTTTGGAAATTTTGAAAACATGCAGTGGAAAACACCCTGTATCTCGCAAACTAATACACTTTTTCTGAGTTTTTCACCGCCGTTTTATAGTTTAAGAGACGCTCTACACAATGCATGCCATTTTAATGCGCTAAACATTCTGGAAGTGCCCTAAAATGCCCTTCAAACATCGGCCTTTTTTTGGAAATTTTGAAAACATGCTGTGGAAAACACCCTGTATCTCGCAAACTAATACACTTTTTCTGAGTTTTTCACCGCCGTCTTATAGTTTAAGAGACGCTCTACACAATGCCCGCCATTTTAATGCGCTAAACAATCTG